TTTTATTTATTGTCATGACAAAGGAGATATTTATTGGAAATTGTCTATGTTGAAATTTGAAAGGAATTCTCTTATATGATGGAATTAAGGACAATAGAGGAATAAAAACCTTTTGTCCAATATTGCTGCCTAATATCACTTTTGCCTCCAAAACATATTTACCCAACTAAGTTATGATAAGTCTAGTTCCATTACACAACCCAGAAGATTGATCTATATTTCTCAACAACATTATTGGAACACCAACTTTCAATTTTACCTCATGATTTGGAAGTCCAAAAGCAGTGATAATATTAAGGAATCCAGGGGTATAAACATCATTAGGTGTAACTAATTGCCCTTCAGTAGAACATGTAACACAAAGAAAGTCTAGAATTTTCAAGATTGTAACCCTTTTGCACTCTCTTAGAATACCACATCATTGCTCTACATTCTTGGCACTCACAAGTAGGATCACCAATATCGCAATAAACTGTTTATTATTATAAGAAAATAATAAGCCTTCATGTAATAGATTAATGGTTAAAATATGAAACTTAAAATAAAATACAATATTGAAGACATACAATTGGTAGTGGATACATCTTCATGTATACCATCAATGAGTACATTTTGCTTTAAAATTTTAATTAATCTACCATTGTTCCATAATAATTTTTGTGGTCCTTTCCCTTGTGCATGGTTATTATGATTTGATTCACATTCTTCAAACAACATGTCATCAAATTCATTATTTTGATTTGATGTGCGATTTGCTCTTTGGCTATATAATATCTTAACTACAAAACAACAAAATAAAAGGATAATCAAATAAGAAATGGAAAATATAAACATTATAAAATTAAATAATATAGTTATATAAAAAATAATAATACTCCATAAATTATCATTTGTGACATTTGACAATGGAGATTGAGTAAATTGTTTTGTCATATATACATCTCTTCTAACAACTCTATTTAAGATAGTGTTAGATCGATGTGCATTATGTGTGCTCATTGATTGAAAAAAAAATTAACCTTGTAAATAAGTTTCTCTATAAATAATTTTGAGAGACAAATAATATATAAAAAAAAATTTGGTTAGTACTAACCTGTTAACCTGACAGTTGTTACATCAGAAGATTGAAACATATTACATCGACGTTGCATAGGTGCAACTTTACCAAATAATAGTTTATCTCCAGCAAAAGAGGGGGAAACATTTTGACTGTTGGCGCCTAGTAATACTGATAAAAAAAAAATTAATAATCATTAATTTTTAAACATATAAATAGAATGAGACATTTTTTACAATATATCTTTATATAATATTTTTGAATATTATAAATTAGTTTTATATTTAGAAATTTTATAATAAATTTTAAAAGATAAAATTAATAAAATATGAAACAATATTAATTTTTTTATAACATATATGATTGGTGTACATTTATGTTCATGGTATTATATGATTGGGTTCAAATCTCGTGCAATATTTCTCTATTAATAAAAATTATAAATTGACATTAAAAAGATGTAATCAATACATAAGAAGTTATGTATAAATTCTTATGTATTCAATACATAAGAAGTTATGAATAAATACTTTTCATTCATGTTAAAAAAATATTATCAAAAGAAAAAATTGACGATAATTAACCTTAAACAAAATGATTTGTACATACAAAAGAGACGGTAAGTTTTTTTTTTTTTTAAATTATTGAGTTGTAGAATTTTGTTAAAAAGAAAAAATTGAAAGATTTGAATCAGACTAATTTCATTTATTTTAAAATAAGGTTATTATTTGAATTATAACAGGTAAAAATAATTAAAAGAATAAAGGGAAAAAATACATTAGCTTCTAAAAATAACATGCGTGTAAAAAAATTTATCGGTGTCTTTACTAAGATCATTAACTCATTATAATTTATTTTGAAAATAATATTTTTACTAATCATATTTATTTTTGGTGAAGATGAAAATTTCAAACAAAAGCAAAAACAAAAACTACACTATCCAACAATGAAATTTATAACATAATTTATGAGAAAAAAAAACCTCTTCATCAACCAAAATCATCTTCAAGGAATTTGTTTGCAATGGATTCTTAAACTCTGGCAGTCTCCACAATCTTATTATATGAACTCTTATGTTCTAGTCAATTCTCCCCGCAGCAATGTCCATTAGTAATGTAAACCTTTGCAACATGTCCTTTAAAAAGAAGATGAAAGCAAAAAGGATAAAACTTTTAATAATATCTTCACTAATCATATTTTTTTTTGGTGAAGATGAAAATTTCAAACAGAAGCAAAAGCAAAAACTCCAGTATCCAACAATGAAATATATAATTTTTATTTATGAAAAAAAAAACCTCTTCATCCACCAAAATCATCTCTAAGGAATTTGTTTGCAATGGATTCTTAAACTCTGGCAGCCTCCACAATCTTATTATATGAACTTTTATCTTTCAGTCAATTCTTGCCGCTGCAATGTCCTTTAGTAATGTAAACCTCTCAGCCATGTCCTTTAAAAAGAAGATGAAAGTAAAAAGAATAAAACTTTTAATAATATCTTCACTAATCATATTTTTTAGTGAAGATTAAAATTTCAAACAGAAGCAAAAACAAAAACTACACTATCCAACAATGAAATTTATAATTGTTATAATTTATGAAAAAAAACCTCTTCGTCCTCCAAAATTATCTCCAAGGAATTTGTTTGCAATGGATTCTTAAACTCTAGCAACCTCCACAATCTTATTATACGAACTCTAATTATCTTCCAGTCAATTCTTCCCACTGCAATGTCCTTTAGTAATGTAATCCTCTGAGGCATGTCCTTTAAAAAAAATGAAAGTAAAAACGATAAAACTTTTAATAATATCTTCACTAATCATATACTTTTTTTAGTGAAGATGAAAATTTCAAACAGAAGCAAAAATAAAAACTAAACTATCCAACAATAAAATTTTATAATTGTTATAATTTATGGAGAAGAAACCTCTTCATCCAGCAAAATCATCTCCAAGGAATTTGTTTGCAATGGATTCTTAAACTCTGGCAGCCTCCACAATCTTATTATAGGAACTTTTATCTTTCAGTCAATTCTTCCCATCTTTTAGTCCATTCTTCCCGCTGCAATGTCCTATAGTAATGTAAACCTCTGAGCCATGTCCTTTAAAAAGAAGATGAAAGTAAAAAGGATAAAACTTTTAATAATATCTTCACTAATCTTTTCTTTTTTTTGGTGAAGATGAAAATTTCAAACAGAAGCAAAAACAAAAACTACACTATCCAACAATGAAATTTATAATTGTTATAATTTATGAAGAAAAAAAAACCTCTTCGTCCACCAAAATCATCTCCAAGCAATTTGTTTGCAATAGATTCTTAAACTCTGGCAGCCTCCACGATCTTATTATACGAACGCTTATCTTCCAGTCAATTCTTCTCACTACAATGTCCTTTAGTAATGTAAACCTCTGCGCCATTTCCTTTAAAAAGAAGATGAAAGTAAAAAGCATAAAACTTTTAATAATATCTTCACTAATCATATTTTTTTTGTGAAGATGAAAATTTTAAACAAAAACAAAATCAAAAACTACACTATCCAACAATGAAATTTATAATTGTTATAATTTATGAAAAAAAAACCTCTTCATCCACCAAAATCATCTCCAAGGAATTTGTTTGCAATGGATTCTTAAACTCTGGCAGCCTCCACAATCTTATTATACGAATTCTTATCTTTCAGTCAATTTTTCCCGCTGCAATGTCCTTTAGTAATGTAAACCTTTGAGCCATGTCCTTTAAAAAAAAAGATGAAAGTAAAAAGGATAACACTTTTAATAATATGTTCACTATACATCAACATTGAAACAACCAACCATTAAAATTAAATACAAACTTACCTAAAAATGGTTTTCCTATGATTGATAGAGAAGGTGTGAATCCTCATATTAGAAGTACAAAAGTACCCAAATCAGAAAGTGGACAATGTATATATGGAGAGAGTATTTTTAGAAATAAGGAGTATGATGGAACTGGACAATTAGAACACTAGTACAAAAATGGCTTTTAAAATCAGAGTTTTAAAATCGGTCATCAGGTAGCCGATTTTAAAAGTGATGCGGTGGCAATTTTGTAAATAATGGCATTACTTTTAAAATCGGCTACGTTATGACCGATTTTAAAATTCCCTGACGCTACTTTTAAAATCGGCTCTTGAATAGCCGATTTTAAAAGTGAGACTTCTAAAATCGGCTCTTGAACAGCCGATTTTAAAAGTGAGACTTTTAAAATCGGCTCTAAATAGCCGATTTTAAAAGTCTACTTTTAAAATCGGCTATTGAGTAGCTGATTTTAAAAGTGTTACTTTTAAAATCGGTTATTGAACAGCCGATTTTAAAAGTAGTATCAGAGAATTAATTACACTATCTCTACTCCTATTGCTCCATTCTCTACTATTTTGCTTCAATATCATATATTCTTCCTCTTTACTCTCTAGGACTCTCATCTGAAGTGTGCAGCTTCTCATTTTCTGGGACGAATTCAACATTGAGGTAACATTTTTGTTTCATGCATCTTATTTTGTTGTTTCTGGGCGAACTTTGAGTCTGGAACGGCCCTAGAACGGCCCCAGAACGGCCTGTACTGCTTGCAGCACGGCCAACGGGTCGTGCTGCTTGCAGTACGGGCCGTTCTGCAAGCAGTACAGGTCGTGCTGCAAGCAGTACAGGCTGTTCTGCAAGCAATACAGGTCGTTCTGCTTGCAGAACAGCCCGTTCCAGGGCCGTTCCAGACATTGAAGCAGTTTTAGGCATTTTTCTAAATTGGACCCCTTGTATGTATGTGTTATATATTTGTATTTTATTAATAATTTGTGATATAATTAATGTCTACCTAGTAATTTAGTGTTTAGAAAAATTAGGTGGTTTATTTGATTTTTATAGATTATAAATTGTTAAAAAATGTATTGTCTATTACTGATAGTTTCTCGATGCAGTGCTCATTGGCAACCTCTGATTATTTGTCCTATGGACAATATATCTGTATGCATTTGTTCGATGCACAAACCTCCTCCTGCAGATTTTAAACAATTATTAGATAAGTAAGTTGTTTTAAAAAAACTACTTTATTTTATTTATCATTACATTTTATTTTAAAATATAATAATGATGTCCTTTTATCATTAGGGCTATGGAAGGATACCATATGCTTAAAGGTTCAAAGTTGAAGAAAAAAATGCTTTGGGTCTCTCTTAAAGTAAGTTATTTTAGTAATGATATTTTTTCTAAGGTATTTTCTTTTGAATTACCATTACTACTAAAATTGGTTTTTATATTCTTTTTGTAGTCTCATAAGCAAAAAGGAAACTATGAGTGCGGATACTATGTAATGAAGGCAATGCATACTATTGTTGATTCACAAATAGTATCTGGGTGGACTGAAGTACTTTTTAGAATTTTAAAATTTTTTATTTTAAGTTTGCATTTTATCATGTTTTAAGAGTTACTTCTAATTGTTCTAAATTTTCTTAACAGATATTTATAGATCGATCACCATTTTCGCTAGAAGATATAAACACCATTAGAGAGCAATGAGCTACATTTTTCATTGAAACATTGGCTAGCTATGAGTTATGATTATAGTTTTATTCATTTTGTAGTTTAGGATGTACATAATTTGTAAGTTACTTTGATTACATATATGGTTGACATTTACCAACTCTTTTTATTTGTATGTAATTTGGTATATTAAAAAGGAAAATTGATATAAGTGCTTCAAACTAGGCCATAAACTTAATGAAATCATAGCACTTATCAATACCCCAAACTTAAGATCTTGCTTGTCCTCAAGCATAGAAAATTAAAGCAACTAAGTTAACACACAACTTAATCTCCTAATTGAACACGATTTGAAAATTGGTAATCACACAAAACAGCCATACATGTCTTCCAGTAGTTGAACACCAAAAATGTTTACTCTTGATCAACCAATTAATGTGGTGCCCACACAAATTGATATCAGAAGTGTATTGCAACAGTTCCCAAAGGGATTAACAAGCATGGCAATGATACTAATGAAAATTAGTGAACAACCTCTTCCTCACCAAGATTAGTGTTTCTCTCATCACACAAGTGTATTTAGGTGGGAATCTCTCAAATTTACACAATTGAATCACACAAATCAACTTTGCTTTTCATCTCAATCAAATTCAAACAGTCACATAATCATGCATAGATCACAAGGTCTTTCATGGGTTGTAATGTGGCTGGGCTAACAAAAGAAATTGGTTTTTCTGGGTAAACAAATGACACCATAGGAGTAGAAGAGCAAGTCTTAATGATCACCATGTATAATTCCTCTTCCTTTCTCTATTCCCAGAAGTCCCAAGATACTACCTTCACCCAAAGCATATAGATCATACAACACACTTATTCACACAATTTAATCACTTTTTGATGTTTGATTTTTTTTTTCTTTTGAATTTTTTCTCTTTTTTTCTTTCTAATTTTTGAAATTCTTTTTGATTTGAATAACACATGACTAATGGCCATAGTGGTACAACCATAACATGCAACAATCATCCATATGCTCAGCAACAATAATCACCCCAAAATACCCCAAACTTAAGACTTTTCTCCCCTTATGATCAATTTGACTGCTCTCCTGTTCCTAAGGTGTGGGAGAATTTTGTCTTTCTTAAGGGCTTCAAGGTTTTCAATGAATTCACTATTTGGCTCAAAGTAGGGTGCAATGGATTCACTTTTTTGTTAGGTTGGATTTTTGGTCAAGTGGATCAAATTTAAAAGAAAAATTGCCTTGATCATCTCTAAACAACATATGCTATGCAAACTCAAAAGAGACTCAAGCAAAATCAACCACATGAAATCAAATGGTAACACTCATACAACTAGAGGAGCCAAAACTCACATGGGTTAGTAAAGGTGCTCAAAAGTTTTCAAAAGTATCATGCCACAATCATTAACCACAAAAGTAACTATCATACACCATCACTACTCATCCCTAGAGTGCAACCACAAACATTTTTGATCTTGTGTCTTAAAATACCTTTGTTCACTAAGGGATACATGCACACCTGATTTGATTTTTTTTTTTCAGTTTTCAAAACGCATCAAAACTAAACAGTCAGAAGCATTGAAATATGTACGCAATAAAAGGTAAAGGGTTAATAAGAAGTACACAATAGGATAATCAAAACAAAATAACATAACATAATAATAGAACACAATTTTTCAAAACATAGCTTTCCAAAGTGAAACAACTCAGTCCTCCTCCTCAGACTCTTCAGCATCATCAGACTCTTCTTCATCGTCATCTTCCTCCTCAGATTCCTCATCATCATCAACTGCATCACCTCCCCATGCTCTTGATCATGGCCTCCTGGCCATGCTACAAAAGCAGAATAAGTGAATGTAATTAGGAAGACACAAAATCAGGAAAAACAATGAACAACCAAGCTGGTTTTTTTTTTATTTTTTGTCTCCATATCCACGTTGAGCGCCTAACCCATGTTGAGCGTGAGGGTTGCAGCAATGTGCTCCCCTTTTGGCCTCAAAAAGGCTTCACCCACCACCAAGAACACCAAAATAACTTGAATCTTGTACTGGGCATTCACAAAAATAAGGTTTCCAAGGGTTTTAAGAAGACCCATTCACAAATATACCACCACAAATGTGCAAATATCATCAAGGAATATCAACCATGAAAATAAGCTCAAAAACACCATGGATACAAGAGTTTGCACGAAAAATGGGTTGGGGGATTAGATGATTGGGGAAAAATAGGAATGGGAACCAAGAAACATACAATGGAGGGAACCACACAAGGTTAGGGGAAAGAGACTTACCTTCGCGCCTTTGATGAACAAGAAGAGAGAAAATGGAGCCTACCCACACCAAGAGCAAGACGGCCAAGGAATGAAAAGAAAGTAACCTAGGGTTTTGAGAGAGTTTGTGAAAGGTTAAAATAGGGGTAGAAGAAAAGAATGGGCTTCTGGAGAGAGAGTGAGAACATTTATTGAAAAAGTGACTCCCAGGCTAAGCGTGGATCTGAGGCTTAGCGTGGGAGCTCCAGGAGCCCAATTACTCTGCCACGTCCACGCTGAGCGTGGATTTTAAGCTAAGCGTGGGAGTTCTAGAGAGAACTCCCAGTTTCCAAGTTTAAGTTTTGAGGCTAAGCGTGGGACTGAGGCTTAGCCTGGCACCTCCAGAGAGCTATTTTTCTACCTCTGCACTGATATAGCTTAGCTTGGAACTTCATGCTAAGCGTGGATTTCAATTTTTCTGCAAATTTTCAAAATTTTCAAGCATAGCTCAACATGAAGTTCCTCAAGCTCTCACAATCACAATGTTTTCTCGACTAAGAAGGAAACACAATGATTAACCATGTACCTACACCTAAAACACACTAACACAAAATAACTGAATTTAAAGGCATGCTAACTTGTTTTTGGATTAAGAATGATGGGTTGCCTCCCATAAAGCGCTCATTTTATGTCACTAGCTTGACAAGCCAAGACTTCAAGGGTTGTTCAATTCAATGGTGGAATGAGCTCGCTCAATTTCACCGCCTAGGTAGAGTTTGAGTCTTTGGCCATTTACCACCTAACTCTCTTTAGAGGCAAGATCCTCCACTTGTATTACTCCCTGAGGCCTAACTTGCTTAACTTTGAATGGTCCCGACCACTTTGACTTCAACTTCCTTGGAAATAGTCTCAACCGGGAGTTGTAAAGGAGCACAAGTTGTCCTGGCTGAAATTCTCGTTTTAAGATCTTTCGTTCATGATACAGCTTCACCCTTTCCTTGTAATGGTTAGCTGACACATAAGCATTGAGCCACACTTTAGCTTTCCCAAGCAGTGAGAATGGAGGTGGCTTCATGCGGATTACATCATTTGGAATTGATTTTTTTTGCTTCTTTGTAGCCTCACACACTACCTCATCCAGCACATCCATTCAGAAACAAGCACCCTTATCATTCGGAAGGGTCCTGGCTTCAAATACATTGAAAGGGATCACCTCATCTTGGACCCTCAATTTTAATTCACCCTCCCCAACATCAATGATTGCTCGTGCAGTCTTCATAAATGGCCTCCCCAAGATAATAGGAATAGTAGAGTCCTCTTCCATATCCAAAATCACAAGCTGGAAATGTGAATTTGTCAACATTGACTAGCATGTTTTCAATGACACCATAGGGATACTTGATAGACCGGTCAGCTAGTAGCAAAGTCATGCGGGTCGATTTTACTACCACTTGGCCAACTCTATCTAACATAGAGAAGGGCATGAGATTAATGCTTGCAACTGATAGGTCCTCAATAGTGATTGGAATTGTAAAGCTTCCAGGGTCCTTGAACTTGGGAGGTAAGTTATTTTGAATTATGGCACTGCATCCCGCTTCCAACTTAATAATCACCTGCTCAATGAACTATCTCTTCTTTGTCAAGAGGTCTTTCATGAATTTTGCATAAGTGGGCATCTGTTCCAATGCCTCTGAGAAAGGAATGTTGATTTGAAGCTTCTTAAAAAGCTCCATGAAGCGTGCAAATTGCTTCTCTTTATCCTTTTTGCTTGGGGCTGGGGGATATGGCATATCCTTGGTACTAGACACCTTGGATTTCATCTTCAATTCTCTTGCTAGCTGGCTCTTTGATTTTTTAACAGCAACTTCCTCAGCCAACTCTTCTCCCTCTATGACATTCTCTTTTGCATTTTCTATTTTTTTTTTATTTTTTTCATTATTTTTTCCATCTCCCTCTCTCATTTCTTCCTTTTTCTCTTGTTGCTCTTCCTTATCCTCCAACACACCCACTCTCTTACCACCTCTTGTTGTAATTGCACTACAATTCTTCTTTGGATTAGTATGAGTATTGGCTAAAAAATTTCCACCAGAATTTTTAGCCAATTGTTTGGCCAGCTGCCCCATTTGAATCTCCAAATTCTTTATAGATGCTTCAGTATTCTTGTTGTTAGAGATTGAGACCTGCATGAACTGATTCAATGTTTCTTCTAATTTAGACTGCCTGTCATACAAGTTGGGCCTTTGCATAGGAGGTCTACTAGATTGAGCAATATCATTCTAGTTCCACCCTGTGCTAGGGTGTGATTGCCAATTCTTCCCATAATTACCACCATAATTTCCTCCTTGTCGAGCTTGATTCCCCATGTAATTCACCTCTTCTCCATGAGATGGGAAAGTATCAATGCACTGCCCGTGAGGATGATTCAACCCACAAAGATCACAACTTAGAACTTGATGTTGAGTGGATTGTAGTTGTTGTGGAATCCGAGCAACATGCTTGGTAAGAGCCTCAATTTGCTGGGACAAGAGCTTATTTTGAGCTAATAAAGCATCGTGAGATCCCAACTCTAAAATTCCTCTTTTCTGTCTTGACTCCCTTTCAGCTGGCAAATCATAATCATTTGCTGCCATAGCATCAATCAACTCTATAGCCTCATCCGGTGTTTTAAAACGCATACTACCTCCAACTGAGGAATCCAATAAAATTTTCACCCGTGGCTGCAATCCTCCTAGAAAAATGTTAACCTGAGTAAGGTCATCAAATCCATGACTTGGACATCTCCTCAACAAGGATTTGTATCTCTCCCAAGCCTCGGAAAGAAGTTCATCTTGCTTTTGAGAGAATGTGACAATCTCACTTTTTGCTTGATTTATCTTAGCAAGAGGGAAGAATCTTGCCAAGAACTTTGTCTCTATGTCAGACCACCTGGTTAAGCTTTGATGTGGTAGAGCATTGAGCCACATCTTAGCTTTCCCAAGTAGTGAGAAAGGAAACAACTTCATTCGAATCACCTCTTCAGGAACTTGATGTATCTTCACTGTGCCACAAAGCTCAATAAAAGTATGAAGATGCAGATATGGGTCCTCATGATCAAGACCCGCAAATTGATTGTTCTGAATCAGATTCAACAGTGCTGGCTTCATCTAAAAATTAGTGGCAGAAATTGCAGGAGTGGCAATGCTAGAGAAATGAGTAGTACTAGTAGCAGCTGCATGACCACCAAGAGTAATTCTTGGTCTTTCCTCTTCCATTTCAGCTTCCTCTAAGATTTCAGAAAAAGAAGGATTGAGAGAGGACGAGTTAGCCTCTCTATGTTGTGCCTGCTTGGCTAGTAACCTTTGCTTCCTTACTGCTCCCCTGTTCCTCCTAACTGTTTTCTCAATTTCTAGGTCGTAAGCTAAATGACTAGCAGGAACAATACCTCACATAAACCAGAATCACAAAGCTACAACAAATAGTCAGCAACACATATACAATGAATTAAAAGAAAAGGAATATAGTAATTGCAAAATGCAAAAGAATAAATGAATCAAAGCCTAGATTAGTAATCCAAGTGACTTTGCCTAAGTATTGAGACGCAAGTCCCCGGCAACGGCGCCAGAAACTTGTTATCTCGTTTGGCAAGTGTACCAAATCGTATAAGTAGTTCAATGAAAGTATGAGTATCGTCTCCCAAGGGACTTGCGCAACACTTTGCAATTTCACTTGTTATACTAACTAAGCTACCGAAAAGCAATAAGAGTTTGATTTGCTGCAGTAAATAATGTAAACAAGCAATAACAATTCTTTTTGGAATTTTGGTAAACACTTAGAGTGCAAAACTTGATTCTAATGCAATATTAATAAATTGTTGGGGTTTGACTTCACTAAACCTTCCTCTCATGTTTATCACTAAGTTCACAATAGTTATTATTCAGAATTTATCAATCACTCTCGAAAGTACCCAACCCTAATCTCTTACAAGTTGGCATCTAAGTTTCTAACTTAAACTATCAATCTCTTGCAATATAGTTTAACCAAGAAACCAGGTTTAAAAACCAGAGCTTAAGAAAGACCAATGGCATTTAC